CGCTCTTCCCAAACAGGCACACACACGCAGACGACACAGCCAGTGCAGGATTTATGAATTCTTGAGTATGCAAGAATATTCTTCCCTCTCCACAGTATGCAGCTAAAGTAATTTGGAAGCCATACGCCGTGAAGAGATAATTTATTGTCAAAATGCAAATCTTCAGAATATTTGTCTACGGGGCCTCTCCATAAATTTGTATAAAACTGTCGAGGCTCAGGCTTACAGCACAGCATAACCACACTGAACAGCGTTTCAGCCGCTCTCCAGATTCTCCGGTATTCTGGATACTTTCCAAGTAGTAATTAATAGAGTCAACACATTCCCAGTATTTGGTGTTGATTCTGAACCATACAAAATTGTCTCCTCTGAGGGTACTGAAATGCAGAACACATGAAATCACATCGGATGCTTTCCGATGTGGAACTTGCACAATATTTGCTGTGGATAATAAAATCTCATCAGCCCTTATTCAAGCTGGAAAATAACAATCTATTTTCTTTCAGAGCCATGGATATTTAAAAAAAAAAAAAAAAAAAACACAAAAAACAAACCATGCCATCTTCTCCAGTTATGAAAGGAAAGAGCTATTTCTACAGGCTTTCTTTTACAGCAGTATCAAAATAATGTAAATAACACGCTGGAAGCACCGGGATGGAATACGAGCTTCATATAAATTCAGTTACCTACCACCACGTTACCGCAGAAGGGAAGAAAAATCTGCAGCTTGTGCGGTGCTAGCAAAACGGCTGTACTCACAGTACCTGTACTTCTTTCTGGAGGATCTACGCAGGAATGGTGTCAGAACCAATTCATCCGGCTCCACGCCTCACCTCCAGCTTGCACGACCACAGCTGACAGGGTCATTCGACCCATTAGCCCCCCGCAACGTCCTGCCCGCTGAGCTTGCCCACAGGGACGCCAGATCACGCCTGGTAACCAGGCTTGCTCGTTCATTCCCACCACACAAAGCAGCCGCCGCTTCACCGGCGCACTCGGATAAAGTTTGCTGCTCAAGAGGACTTCAGCGTCCTCCCCAGAAGTGCTGCGTAAGCATTTCCAACAGCGCTGCCAGAGCTACCCAGCCCTGCGACGCACCGCCGCACAACCCAGCACGGCATTGCCAGAAGCTGATGCCATGTTCTCTCATCATCAACTCAGCCAGGAGAAGGAAAGACCCGTAGTGGCTGGTGCACTACAGAGGTGACACAGATGCGAAGGGAAAAGGGAGAACTGGAGAGAGAGAGGAATGCCTAAAAAGCATTCAAATACGACTGACTGTGTTTTGTGTAAGAGGAGACTAATTTTTTTCTCATTTACAGCTCAGAAATGGACACCAGTTTGCTGCATACCCAGCTTTTGCTTATTCATACCCAAACGTAGCCCTTGCACAGGGGCAGGTATTACCAGACCCGGAGGCTAAGCCGTAGCAGCCCGAGTGTCAGTTTTATCAAGCCACTGTAACTCTATTGACTTCTGAAAATTAGATTGTTAGTGCACTCTTTATTCAGACCTTTAAAAACATTGATGTCGAAGTGTTGTTTTACAGATGCCCGAGTATCTCGGGGATAGCTCATAAAAAGAATCTCAAATAAATTGTCCGTAATCTTAAATCTACTTTACACATGGAAGATTTTTAGGGCTCAGTAAAATCACAAATACCGATGTGTACGCTTCAGGTTTTGGTCTTGCAAAATTAGATACTCCTTCCAGCCTCCCACAGGAGAAGCTAGTAACATTAAAAAAAAACCCAAACCTCTCTGCAACGGAGTCTAAGTAAATCACCTAGCTACTGGATATGTAAATGAAATAAATGTTTTTATTTCTCCTACTAATTGAATACAGGAAGTACACAATTTTCAAATGGGGCTTTCCTTTTTCAATACCAGATACTAAAACTCCATTACCCAGTTGTAGTTACTTCCTCTTCATTAAGTAATTTATAGGTAAAGAGGGAGAGGAAGGCTACGGTTCCATGGTTAATACAGACATGTCACTAGGGAGAACAAGTGATGCTGATGAGGCAAGGACACAGGACTGCGTCTTTGCTGAATTAGCCAGGGAACTTTGTTTCGAGCTTTTGCCAGCTTTATACAGGTTCATGGAGGACAGCATAAGGCATGCCAGCACAAGTTTAACCTGCCAGGAATTTAGCAACGCGTTGAACCATCAGATGGAATTTATATCCCACAAAAACTCTGTGGTCAAACGTTGAGATCTGAAGAGAAAAGAAAGTGTAACCAGGAGGGGAGAAGAGGAGGAAAAGGGAATTAATGGTGGCAGGTGGTAGAAGGGAACCAAATCCTAAATAATCAGGCTGGGCAGAAAATGACTCTTGAAGCAGGGAGAGCCAGAACAAGGGAAGAGACAATCTTTCAAATATGTTTGGGTTATTTAGGAATACAGCTGTATGGTATCAGGTGACATGTAAAGCACTAAGGACTCAGGGAAAGTAACATTCCAAGACACTGCATTAAGTTTACAGCAAGAGACAAATTGGGTTGATTTCTCCTTATGCATCTTCGTATCCTCAAATAACCCCACAATGCTAGCCCTGTCCTCCCTCCCCACCCTAGAAAGTGATAAACAGCACCCATTCTTACTACAAATTAAAAAAAAAAAAAATTTGCCACGCAGTCATGGTACAAACCAGCTCTTGTGAGAGGGAACAAGGGAAAACACAAGAGTGTTGCTACTTACATTCTTGTATTGCTGGTCTTGTTGATAATTACAGATTTTCCAGTCTGATCCACATTGTGATCCATTCCAAAGTAAGCTGCCACTCTGTGCACTAACATCCTCTGATATGACGACATCTGAGGAAACTTTTTATAGTGATTGCTAGAAAAAAAGAAAACAAATGACAGCGATAATTACATTTCCCTCTGAGTTATAATGAAATTAAAATAGCAATACATTCGATAGTTCAGCGGACAGAAATCTAACTGAAAACTTCTCCTTTGCGCATTTACATGTAAGTGTTTGCCACAAGAAGGCAGAAAAAAGAAAGGCATTATGTTTAGAGTTTCTAATAAGCATATTTCCATGGACTACACTGGGACAAACACAGCTCACGCTTCATGGTATCTACTGAGCATTCTGTATATTGGGAAGAACTCATCCCCCAACCCCACACACACACGCATCCTGCAGATTTGATGAGATACTGGCAACAGCTTTCTGCCTTTCTCCCCAAGGTGAGATGCAGCGCGATGCTGCAACGATCTCGTTTAGCAAGTACTTCTTTCTTCTCTCTCACTGACAAAATGCTTATTTCCCGTCAGCATAATTTCTTCCTATACTGCTAGTCCGACTCTTTAAAACTGCAGAAACATTTTATTATTTATAGAACATGTGGTAGCAAGAATCCCTCCACCCAAATCCAGTTTTATTTTCCAATGTATTAGAATAATATAGTACACAGGGAAACCCATGAGGTAGCATATTTGATAATCCTCTGCACTGAAAGCTTTGCTTATATTCTTGGACCTACATGAGCGGAGCCAGTGCAATTATGACGCAATGAAAAGCAAAAGGTTTTCATTTGTATCTCCTGTATTTTAAGCAGTACCACCATATGTCAGGAAATAAAAGCCTGAGCTCGCAGCGTGCCAGTAACAGTGCTCAGGAGCACTGTGGTCCATATGAGCGCATCCCTTGCACAGCTCGCCTTGCTACATGCCCACGTGACTTAATAACCCAGTATGGAACTCTACTTACTTGTTGTCACTAATAAAATCAATAATTTCCTGTTCCATTTTCAAGAGTATCATTCTGTCCCTGTCAAAAAGAAATGCAAGTATTTGTAGCATCAACGACCAATAGACATTTTAGATGAAGAATGAATATATCAATGTTTGTAAGCCAATTTTGCAAGCGTTGTCAGCCACCTTGATTAAAAATGAAACGTGCCTTGCCCTGGCATGTCTGGAGAAGATTGCGGCCTGCTTTGCTGCACCTTCGCTGACATACATGACAGATTTAGCTCTTCCTCGAGCTCAACTATGGCCTGAGAGTGCTTCCAGCCACGCCAGGCTGTGATCAATGCGTTGCATAGAAAGACTTTGACTGCTATGGATAGCTTTGGTCCTTTTTCACCCTTTTTTTGGATGGAAAATGAGATTTCCAGCTAAACTAGCTCTTTCATGAGAAAAGCTGCTACCCACAGAAATTTTCAACATTTTGTCCAAGACATATCTTCCACAAGGCATTGATCTGCAGGCAGGAAGACTGGGCACATCTAATCTAGTTAGAGAGCACAATGGAGAACAACGCCTTTGAACTATGGCTCCCAGGAGGCAATGCCGCAGCGTTTCTTAGTCAAAATCCTCTGTTTTCAAGTGGAAGGTCTCAGATGTTCCTTTTAACCCATCCTCTCTGGCCAAAAAAGTTCAAAAATTTCCCCAGCATATTTCCACACATACATTTTTTTCTAAGCTTGACAGAGTGCACCACTCCTTAGTTCGTTTGAACTTTCTCATTTTGTGCAGATAAAACAATTCAAGGACCTTCTGCCATCCATACAAGAGGTTATGCAAGCTGTTAGGTACCCAATTATTCTTAGTTCTCCTGTAATTGCAGAATTGCGTGGTACCTGTTTAACAATGCAATTGAAATGAACATTGAAAATCACAGTGTATAAAAATGTTACAGATCCTTCCTTAGACATTTAGAGGCAAATTTAACGATGAGATGAGCTTGCTGCTTCAAATCAAAACTATGGGAATATCGAGACTAGAATTTGGCACTGTGCACAGGATTTTAATTCTGTACAGCACTGCCAAAAGAAAGCTACTTTATATTCATATAGAAATGTCCAACTGCAATGGTTATAATATACTACTGCCAACATCATGTAGAGCTACATGCAAGAAGGTAAGGACAAAGACCAGATGTCGCAGAAAGTGAAATTAAGCAATGGGTGATTGAACAGGGGAGTAGAAGTTGATGACTTTCTATAGCTTTTTGCTCAGTTAACAGCTTACCTCCTACACGTTTTCCCTCATAACTATCTCCAGAACTAATAAAACAGTGTACAGTTACGGGAACTCAAAGACCACCAGCTCTAATTTCAGGAGTGCCGGCTCTAATGCAGAAAATACCTACCTGGGGTTATTCTTTAATGTGTTAATGAGAAACTCATGCAAATCTATGCCTGTTGAGTCTGTATACTCTTGACTGCAATCTGAAAAAATAAAAACAAACACCCCTCCCTTTATTTCATTTCAACAGCTACAATTAAGCTATACTGTAAATCAAAATCCATTTTCCATCAACTATCTGAAAGCATATGCTCTGAAAGAAAATATTCAATTGGAATTCAGCCAAGACAGACCTATGCTTGAAAGCATCGGGTGGACGTTCATGGTTCCTCTATCCTGTTCTACTGAGAACGCAGCACTAAAAATAGACACTGACAGAAACTGCAGGTCATTTGAAAAATCATAGGAAACCTTCAATGCCACTCAAGACCCTGTCACGTTCTTCCTTTAAGCTACTAAAAAAAATTTTAAAAAATTAAAAGTTATATTCATCAGCATCTCTTTGCCTCAATATATGCTGTACACACGACAAATGAGGCATTGTGCCAGTGGGAATTCTATTTGCATTAACAGACTGAAATCTGGTGACGCCTGAGAGTGGGTGTGTAATAGGGATGCGTGACAGTAGTCAGAATTCATTTTTCAGCACTGCTGTATCGCCTGACTCAAAAGTACACACAGATCCTCAAGCTGGCGTGAACTGTGAGAGCTCCATTGAAGCCAACTGACAATTCACACCAGCTGCGGATCCGCACCCAGGTAGGCAATGATTCTTCTTGACAGATTACACTGCAACTTTATACCATGTATTAATAAAAAGATTAAAAAACAAACAAACAAACAAAAAAACACCAAATCAAATTTAGATACAATATCTTTTCTGAAGAAGTCTTAGTAGGTGACAATAATAGATTGCAATGCAGGTTAAAGGTCATGGATGGATTTCCTTACAGCATTTAAGAGGAATTCTCCATGAGAGAGGGGCAATAGTGCACAGGATTACTCTCTGCTGCCTACATTGCACAAATCTCATGCCACCGTATTATCATTAATGGGCGAAATACTGTATTAGTCTTGCATTTATCTCATTATATAATCACGCATATATTTACATATACATGTGTTTATACCAACGTGGTTAAGTATTCAGAAGAATGATTCTACATTAAATAAAATAAACCTCCAATACCAAACCTCAGTTTGGAAGCTTTCTTCACTTTCAAAGGCTGATGTTTGCGTGAAACACAGTGTCTCACGCATACGCATTTCAGGTTCTGAATTTTCTCAACGTATGAAAACAATTCTACTGTGTATTTATATGCAAATAAAGAAATGCATGCTTATAAAAACATACAATCCTTTTTATAACAGTAATTACAGCAATTTAAATATTTTTACGTTCACCTTTTGATAACATTCTGATCTTGTTCTTTTCACTGCCTTTATCTTTTTCTTTATTTTTATCCTTGTCTCTTTCTTTCTCGGAGTCATCTTTACTAGATTTATCTTCTTCTTGCAAGCTAGGAAAACTTGAAAGCTGTAGTTGGATTGCTTCCTGTCAGGGAAAAAAAGAAAGATAAATTTAGGGGCAGATTCAGTAAGCTTTCCGTGGCTTCCAACCTGCAGAGATGTGCGTTAAACTCTGTGTAGCTAGAAGAGCTGAAGCCAGATACATTTCTTTCCTATTTGAAAAATTATTTTTTTCCAGGAGAATGACGACAGCTGAGAGGCCAAATTCTAGTGCCAAGTGTATTTCTTCCCTAATAGTTGAATACTGTAACTTTTAGTCTACCTATATTAAAGGCACTATATTATTCTACACTTTAGTAACTCTCAAGACTTGTCAGAACAGTGAAATACATTTTATATGGCCTTTCTTAAATAATTCTATAATTTAATCAATATTACACATGTTAAATGATGATAGATGGCTAGACATCTAAAAAAAAAAAACAAAACTTTTTTCCCCCTCACTAAACCTGCAGGCTCACATGAACAGTTTTGCACATCTAAGCGCAGTATCAGCTAGACTGAGCTTTCAGGCTCTGACAGTAGCAGAGTGCCAGCAAATTATAAACTCAGTTGTATACGAGAGCTTACTTACAAGAGTGCTCATCGGGCACTTTGTATCTAAAGACATATGCAAACATGCCTTTAGTAAAAGGGGTGAAGTGTGTGCACTGTGATTTTCAAACAAGTTGTGGTAAGTGAACTTCTCCAAAGCATCACAAGTTTTATACTTCAGTATTTCAGAGACTACGAGTTCCTTTGAAAGCATGCTTCAGCTTTAAAAAGTTAACTAAAACTGAGAATTCAAGCTGTATTGCGTTTTCCAATTGGCTTTAAGGAACTTATTATTCCCAACTTACAACACTACTTTATATTGGCTTCGTTTTAACAAAACACAAATTGTTTCCTTTTTAAGTTACCATGGCATAATTTATATATTTTAAGAAATACCAATCTGATTCTGTGACAAAATTTAATACAGGATACTTCTGTGTTCATATTCTTTTGAAGAAAAAAATGGCCAAACTAATACTATATGCTTAAGTAGTGTAAAAATGCACCTTTGAATTAAACTGTTGCAAAACTCCCTAGTAATGCAGTTTTCTTTAATAGAAGAGAGTCCTGCATGCCTGATAATTTTTTGGCATCATGTTAGTGAAAATCAAGTTCGCCTATACTGGAGAAAATCAGTTTCTTGAATGCTAGTAAATTCCCTTCCTTCACAATTTTTTAAAGACGACTAGCATACCAAAACGTCAACACAAAACTTTAAAGTAAGGGTTTTAGGGTTTTTTTAAGCAACCAGACCATTATGAATTCAAAAGATGCTTTCAATAATTATTACAAATTTTAGGTTTCTGAATTTTTTGAAGACCTACAAATCAGCCACCACAACACATGTAAGACAAGATCCTAACAGAACAAGATATCAGCATAAACGTGCCACAGTAAGACAGAAATTGAGTAATTTCTCAGCTTAATCCTTATCAACTTTTTGTGAAGTTCAAAATATGGCACAAGGGACTTGAGATGAAAAGCACTACAAAAGAGAAACAAAGCCCTAGAGCCAAAATTTAACCTGAACTACCGTCCTTAATCCCGACTCTCTTAGTTTTGGCTGACAGTATTGCTGAAAAACTGAGCGTACAGGGGGAAAGAGCAGGAACTCCTGGTCATTCAAGATAAAGATACATAGAAAAATGTTTGCTAACCTGCTCAGTTGTACTCGGCTAACGTTACGCCTGCTTTCTTTCACTTCAAATGGCAGTTCGATTTCTCATTCAAACAACAAACTTTGGACCAACCACTGCCAAAGGACCCCAAAGGGTAACTCTGATTCCCTGCGCGGCTAGTTTTCCAAAACAGGAGAAAAATGTAACTGGCCATGCTGTTCCCAGGACATAAATCCTAAGCTTCACAGTGGTTGTTAAAATGCACTCATGAAAAGAAAGACGACAGACTTCACACGTAAGCACACATATGAACATACAGGAGATTCTTACATGTAACATAATACTTCTATATTTGCACTAGAAGAAACACACAAAAGGGCTGTAGAGGTGCGAAAGCAAGCTACGGCACATTTTCTTAGATTTTTATTGATTTTTCTCAATAATAAAATACAGTGTTAATAAATACATCGATACAAGATTTAGTATAGTGAACAACAAAATAAATGTTCAAATTGCAGTAATACACTTCTTGGTCAATAGTATAACATTAAAGGCAACATTCCTTTTAAGTAAGGACATAGTGAACTATCAGGTAAGCGTTCAAGATCAAGTAATACAGGTAAACAAGTTTTTTCCCTATACAGGAAAATGAAGGCAAGTATTCAAATATAAATACAAACATCAAGTCTGCAGTACAATCCATACTCAGTAGTTCTGGCAATGTACCATACATTCTCTGGTAATTAATTCCCTGTGCTTTGTAAATGATTAAGATAAAATAATAATCTTAAAAAAAAAACAAAAACCAAAAAACCAAAACCAGAACACAAACCCACACCAAAAATAAGCTTCTTCTCCTCTAAAGTGAAAGCAAAGCAATTCGGTTGGCACAAAACGTCCCGTATCCTTCAGCCAGTCCAAGGAGGAGCCTGCAGGTCCAGCTTTCCATGGCAAAGCTGAGCCGCACTCATTAGTAAAAGGTCAGCAAGAGCAAAAGTGCAATTCCTATCTAATTAATTACGCCACGTCCTTAGGAAATGGATGCCGGGGTCCAGGGAGGCACTTCATCTCCCAGAAACGTTTCGATATGGTCAAAGAAATCTTTGCCGCAGCTGGTCAAAGTCAGTAAGACCAGAGGCTGTGTGTAACGGGAACCCCTCCTCTGCCTGGCATCGGGGTGCAATCCGGACAGGGATTTTACCTCGAAACCCGTCAGTCTCTCTGACGTTTAATACAGGTCCTGTGCAGTACATTATAAACTACCACGCAATGCTTAATACAATCTCTTGATATCGTTCTCCTTTTCATTCGCCATTAAACAGAAAATACAAATGAAAGCAGAACAAAAGCCACGCCTCTCGAGTACCACGAGTTAAGCAGAAAGCATATACCTACAACAGAACAACTGATAAAATAACCTGCCCGGCTACTGCGTTCGCATCATTGTAGAGCAGTAGAACATGTAGACGTCCTCCTGCTAAACAACTTGGTTTTTGGTCTTTCAAAAAAAGATTCAAAAAAATAGAAAAACCTCTCCATACTTATGAGCTAAGAGGAGAGCTGGATCTGGTTCGTTTCAAGTCAATAGAGGAAACGGTGAGAAAGTACACTTAAATACGATTTTTTTTGTGCTAAGATCACAAGAAGTCACTTCCTCAAGCTCTCTTGATGGCTGATCTGATTTGCACATAAACATCTCATAAGTTACAGGCAGTGCTCATGATATTTTGGGTTTGGGTTATTTTGAGGGTTTTTTGGTTTTGTTTTTTTTATTAAGACTTGCTTTTACCAGGCAAGCAAAGAAGAATACTTGAGGTTTTTACTGTTGCTTTTTGGGGTATTTTTTGAAGTTAATCTATAAGGACTGCCACCAGTGTTACTGTGCGAGGTGAGGGGTGCAGGCGACAGAGCTCTACCAGCTGCTGGGAATACAACACTACCAGTACAAAGTCAAATACACACTTTTTGATACCGGAAAATCTACAACAAGAGTTTAGAAAATGAATGCCACTCAGCAGGAGGCATCCTTGGCTCTACCAAGGTATTTTAGAGAGCAAAGGACCTGTGAATTTTACGTGAAGGGGGACACTGATATGAACTGGAGTCTCAGAGGAACCAGAAACCAGAGCATATTCATAACTCTATCTGGTGCAGCCTCGAAAGAGATAGCCTTAGAGAAAAGAACGTATTAATATTCTTTTTGATTGTTACTATTTTTTAAATTTTAAAATCTGAATTCTTTTGAATTCTTTTCCGTTTGCTGAAATTTTCAGGGGGTCTGAAAAAAAAGCAAACAACACCCTGTGATATAGTGTAAAACTAGTATTTCAAAATAAAGTTCACGCTAAACCAGATAACTTCACAAAAACGTGTTCACTGTCGGATGTAATTTTTCCCCCAAGAAAGACATTGTTAAATGCCCAATTAAGTAACATAATCATGCAACTGAACATGTAAGTCAACCATGCAGCTAACAGCAATAACTGCCAGTGTACCTGATTATCATGAAGATTTTCTGCTCCCGGGCGAGGAGATGACTCTTCACACACAGCAAGACTCCGGACGAGTTTTCCTTTAGCTCCTGACTGAGTAAGAGAAAAAGAAAGCAAAACAGAGAACACTACTACTGACCCCCAGTCACATAAGCTGCACACATCCGCTGTCCCTAAACATCCCCAATAACTACTGCCTACACCGAGGCAGCAAAATCCTGTCTGCCCTCGATGCAGATAGAAAGGGATTCTAAGCAACGAGCCATTTGCCACACAGGAGAGGTGGTAGGTTTCTTCTTGCTTTTAATAATTTCCGATACAGTTCACCCACTACCACCAAAAATCGTAACAGCGAAAGAATAGATAATCCCATACTGAAGCTAATTTAACAGAGTTAACCTTTGAGTTTCCTTCTGTCGCTTGAGGTTTTTTGCTTTGTTTTTTCTGTTTGTTTGTTTTTTCTTTTTCCACCCTCTCTCTTCTTCCAGTGGTATCGTATCCAAGGAACACAGACAATAAAATGCGCAAGTTTTATGGATTTGCACTTGGAAGATTAAGAGAAGGTTTTGGGTTGGGGCGGGGGGAAGGGTTTGTTGTTTTTCTGTTGGGTTTTTTTGTTGTTGTTTTGGGGTTTTTTTTATGGGTTTTTTGTTGTTTTGTTCCTACAAGCTCTTTTTATTTACTCTAGGCAGCTAGTCAGTCTCAGATTTTTTTTTATGTCAAGATGAGTCCATTAAAATAAAATTCAAACAAAAACGTTAACTACTAAAGCAAAAGGAATGAACTTTTTCCTTCCCCAGTGGTGCACACAAGCACACAGGCGAACAGAAGCACACAGGGACCCCAGCAGCATAAAAGTATGATGGATAAATAAAGGGCAACCTGACACATTTTACCTCTGCTTTGTGCAACAGGATTATGGGGTAAGTGGGGCGGGGGCGAAAAACCCACAAACAAAACAACTCCAACCACCACACAAGTGATGAAAGGCCGTAATTTCAATTGCAGACAGACAGTTGATTGAAATTCTTTACCCTACCGCAACCTGCAATTCCAAGCAGAGATGGACCCTTACCTTGGATCTCTTTTTCTGCTGGTTCTGATTTGCACCTCGTTTCTGGGTATAGCAAAAAAGAGAAGCAGTTATCACTTCAGTGGAAAAAGTGCATGACGAGCATTACCAATAACTAGAGAGATTAAATCACTCTGAAAATATTTTAATCAGTTGCTGACTGCAAAAAACAACTTCCCCAAACCCAGTCTGGAAAGCAGGGAAAACCAAGAATCATCTCTGCTCACTTTATTCACTTTAAGAACAGGTATAAACAACAAAAACACACTGCACAGTGTTCTGTAATTTTGCATATAAGGAAAAACGTAAGAAAAGGCATACTTAAGTAAATGCTCCCCCTCTCCAAATTCCTCTTAAATTGTAGTGTCCCCCTTTATTTTTATATTCGATTGAGCAAAAACGATTAAAACCCCCTCATCCGATAAAGTCTTCTTATCAAATTACCTTCTTAGGCTTTGCATAACAACTTTTTGTTGGCAGTAACACCTACAAACCAAACCACACATTAAGTAATTATTCATTAGTATTACCTGTAAATTCATGAGATCAAGGTAGTTTTCTAAATCCCCAAAGAGGGAAAACAGTCAAATATTTCACCAAGCTTTAACACAGACATCTAGGAATTAACTTCTCAGGAAAATTAATTACATGGACAGCAGCCTAAAGAGCTTGAAAGGTATAACAAATAACAGCGTTTTATTTTATACAGAGATAAAAGGACCCAAAATTAAACAAACAAAAAAACAAAAAGCAAGAACAAAACAAAAGGTCTCAAAATTATGAGAGAAAAAATAGGGAAGCGTGGGCAAAGAAAGAGATCCCAGAAATGGGAAGGCAATGGTAACACAATGGTATTAATGTGCCCATTCACTAATCCTGTCTTACCTGCAGCTCTGTCTTGGCATCGCTCAGCTTCTCCTCCTTCTCCTCTACTTCCGAGCTTTCAGATTTATTAAGGATACAGTGGTCCAGGTTCGCTTCAGAGATAGCAGTCTCCTGCTCTTTCGCAGCTTCCTCTGCTGTCTCCTGGTTCAATTTACCTTGCTCAGACATTCTTCCAGACAGAAATTAAAATAACAAGATTTGGTGACCTGGAAGGTCAAGATATCACAACACAAACACACACACAAAAAAACACTGGAGGTGAATTTTTTTTTTTTTTTTATTTCCCAAGTAATTTCATTTCCTTTGATAAACAAACCAAAACATGCTTCCAGGAGTGGAAAGCTGTGTATGGTTCCAGCTGAAGAGATGCACTGAATTGACAATACTGGATAAGAGCAGAATTGTGTCAGGTTAAACAAGCAGAGGTCCAATCTACACAGCCTTGGTGGAGAGCAGATTTAAGGTAAGGAGCTGCGACTCCTCAGCCCCGTCCTGGTACTGCAGAGGTGCAGGCAGGGAGGGACGGTGAGGGACTCAGCAGCACCAGGCAGGAACGACCCATTCAGACTTCCAGGTCTCTGGCATCTCAGCGCTGTCCTCCTCTAAATGTTCTGCCACTTCCCCCCTCCCCCCCCTTTTTTTTTTTTTAAAGAGAAAAAGAATAGCCAAACAAACAAAACAGAAACAAAAACCAAGAATGAGCAAAACCACAGTTTTTAGCACTCAACCATGGTTTTTGTATGACGCAGAAGCCCATGGTGCTCATTATCACTTTAAAAATTATATATATATTTGAAGAGGCAATAATTCAATATAACTTATGAAATCTAAATTTGGCAATAAAGCTCTCAGGGTCAACGTTTTCAGGCATCAAACTGACAGCTCCATTATTAAAATCATAAGCCTCTTCCCAAACCCCATGTCACTCTCCCCAGCACTATGCAAATCCTACAGGAAGCTCTTGGCAGGTATTTCTAACGAAGATATCTTAACTGAACTGCATTTACTCGCAGCTCACAATGGGTTGTTGTACAGAAGCTTTAAAGGCTTTTCAAAGTTAAAGCCTATTATTTTCTCTCTTTCTCTCTCTCTCTCCCCGCCCCCCCCAGCTCCCTCTCCAAGCCTCCCCCACTGATCAATTGTCAAATGAGACTCATGAATAATTTAACTTTTCTTTCCCCATCCACTTGGCTTAAGTATCGGCAGGAAAAACAACTGCGGTTGAGAAAAGGAGTTATTTCAGAAAGGGTCTTTTGCAATAACTTGTCACTTCTCAACAATGAAACGGCGGCTATTAAGCAAAACCACACTTTACGGTGTTTCTTTTTACAGCTTGTAATTAACATTCAACAGGTCTGATATGACTTACCTTCATTTTTTAAGCTAAGTTTTAAGTGGAAAAAATAAGACCTACTGAGTTTTAAAAACTTACTTCTTCCCATTTTTGCTTTTGTTTTGACACTGTAAGCAAATAAAATAAAAAAGCCCTTTCCCACATAGTCTTGCCGTTTGAGGAGGATTGTGGATTTCACAAAAAATGAAGCTACAAGGTTCATAAACAAACAAACTGGAATACGAAGCTCACAAACTAGCTGACAGTAAGCCAATTCCAGCTTTGGGGTGTCCTCATTCCTCCCACCGCCCTCCCCAGGAAGTCCCGTGGCATTGGATAATTCCGCAGTTACAACTGAAACTTGAAGTGCTTTTCTAAAAATTCAAAACGCAATGAATGGCGAGACCTGAAACTAGTCTGCTAACCCTTAAGTTGTTGACGTAAATCCTTAAAAAAACGCACATGCATGCACAAGTTCTTCACGGGCATATCACCCCGGAGCTCACCCACACGCTTACGCAATGTTCACAACAACAATTACACTCATAGTTTACCAGTTGCACCAAAGCAGCCATTTACCTGAAAAACTGCTATAATTCCCACTGTCTTTCTACCGTCTTCTGTTGCTCTTTGCTAGTTAAGTCCACACAAATGATCAATGACAGCGTGAGTCCCATGTCCCCATTAACAGGTCAGAGTGCCAATCGCCATGCTGGGTCCTTCAGAGCACTCGATGGATCATAGCCAACCTGGAAAAAAGACAACAGGTAAATAATAACAACGGCAATGATCATGGTACAAGGTAAGGATGCAATAGATAGGACCAGATTTCTAACACTAATGACCAGCTTCAAGCAAATCACTTTCACAGCTTGATCCAGCTCCACCTGTCTCAAAACTGCCTGCTTCTTCTCTAATGAAGGCTAGAGCCGGCTGTTCAAGTCATAACAGCTCCTACGCAAGGAGCTAAAATTAACAATTGCATTATGCACTGAAGATTACTCACTTCAATTTTAACCTTTTTTAGTGAATTCCAGCACTTTTCATTAAAAAAAGCATACATACATATTTATATATAAGCTCATCTGTTTGCTTCAACAGAAATCAATGAGGGGATGAGGAAAAAGCACTTGCCTGCTTTTTGAATTATGGCTTCTGCTCCAATTAAAATCTCAGTAGTCAGATACTATTGAAAAAGAAGCTAGATGGGTGCTTTTAGAATGTAACCTGCTTTGCCAGGGTAGTGAATTGAGATGTTCATTTAATAAGCCGAATAAAAGTTGAAATGATCAAGAATGGAAGGAGGAGAAGGAAGAAATCCTATTCCCCGAACAACGGCCACCAGAAAAACTTGCTTTCAAGGCACTGTCTGAGGAGGAAAAAGGAGATCTCCAGGTTACGGTTTGGAAAATAAACGTGAAGAAAGAGTTGCCTCAGCAATGCAATTTATGCTGCTCATCAGGATTGTGTTTGCCAGCTGAATAGCTGATCCGACAGAAAAGGAGCATTTTGGGATGAGTCGGACGGATTTACAAGCCGTGGCCGCGCGCGGAACTGTCTCGATACAACAGGCACCTCGTCTCAAGGCTTGCATATGAATCACGGTTGAAGCAATTAGTGCAAACACACAAAAACAGCAAATAGGAAGAAACATGTACCATTCTACTGGGGGTGGGTGGGAACACAACCAAAACTGAAGATCATCTCACTCTAATATTAGACTTCTTGTTCCCGAGGCACGTTTTAAATTGCGCGTGGTTGCGACGGTGGTACAGTATGTGGCAAGCGCGCTGGAACTCGCCGCGTTAAAAGAGGTGAATTTCATGCACCAGAAATGGAACTTAGTCTTTCACAAAAACCAAGTCCTGCTCCCTCTGGGATCTCAGGCGCACAGAGGAGATCAGCAGGCAGTTCTGTAAACTACCACTGCCACCCTGCAAATTTATATAGATAAAAATATTTCTTCTCCTGAAACCACTTAATGATTTGTAGAGTAATACAAAGTACGTCTGTACAGAGTAATACAAAATAAGTCTTCCCACTCAGCTTCTGGTATTTCTCACAGGACGTTTGCAGAAATTTTATCTCATTGACAAACACAAGGACCACGATGGGAGTGGAGGAATAATATGGAAAATTATGCCTAAGCACTCAAGCACATGCAAACACATTTCACAGAGCCAATACTCAGAGAGAAAAAGAGTGAATAAACTACTGACTGAAAGCGTTTCCTCATAACCATCTTCCATTAACCCCTTCCCTCACACTTCCAAGAGAGAGAGGAGGGGAAAAAGTCAACCAAAACCAAACGCAAACCAAAAAACCCAAGGAAATACAGTGCATTACCGTTTCACCTGGAGAAGAGCCAGCCAGGGGACAGACCACTGCAATTAAAACCCTCCAAAACTAACTGAGAAAGAGGTATCTGTACCAAAATCAGGACACAAAGAAATTGTTTTTACCATATGTTGTGAATTAGCTATTCATAAGACAAACAAACAGAGCAAAACAAAAAATCAGACAACAAACCAACCAAACAAAGGGTATGATATCCAGCAAGCGAAGAGATCTGCCAAGACTCCAATAAATAGCATTACTGGTCTTGTGCCACAGATGCTCAACATAATCTTATCATGCTTTACCAAAGACATATTTCTTCATAAACTGAGTTCCCCATATTGTTACACTTAAGGTCTCTGATGCCAACATCATTCTTCATTGGCAACGCACAAGACGTTCATAGACTCTTAAATTAAAACAACAAAAAAACCCCATACATTTCCCCAAGAAAGCATAAGAAAGTGGAAAATAAGTTTAGAGTGTGCAGCTACCATTTTTCAAACCCACAATGGCAATGTTCCTTAGGATTATTATTATTTTTTTAATAATTATCTTCATAATTATCTTCTGGGACCAAAAAAAAGGGCAGGAAGAACTGAAACATATAGCAGTCACCATCGAGCTCTTCACCTTCCCTCAATATAAATTTCCTCCTCCTCCATTAGGCAATTTACAAGTGATGACTAATCATTTACATACGTAAGTAAAATACGTATTGTAGTACATTTCTGGTTGTTTGGGTGGGTTTTCAAAGGGACTCGGTTTTCTATAAAATACTTCAGGGAAAGTATAAATAGCAAAAAGGAATCAGTCAGAAAATAGCCATTAAGAGTGAGACATTTTGATTGAAAAAATACGTCTCTCTCTCTCACGCGTTTCCAGGATATCTGGTTATTCAGTGATGAATGCACTTTTTACTATTGTCAGTCCTGCAATGACAGCACTGCTATAGAAAAACATACTGGATTATTCTCTTCCTTGCACATCAACAGAAACGTCAGTGATGATTTGACTGTCAAAACCTTCAGTAGCGAAGTGATGCAAAAAGCTGAACAAATGCACTTGTGGTTTTGATCCTCAGGTAGAAACCGCAAGGCTTGTTGCTAGGCAAAACCCACCTTCTCCACGAGCAAAATTTCATAGTTGTGTTGGGATCTTAGAAGCGATCCACAGGAGCTTGCGGCAAAATTTCAGCCTCTAACTCCTTTAAAGAAACTTGAGTATCGTACAGCAAAATGCAACGCAACAACAGAAAACACAGGTGCCCACCAAGCCATTTGTAGAAACACTTCCATAGAAATATCATCTGTTCGTACAGAGTTTATAAGCACCAACTGATCAGCACACACTGTGGGATGGAAATGCTGTTTTTTTCCTTAAATTGCTTTCCTTATTAACAGGATTTTCACTTTAGAAGCTACGGGTACTACCCAGGTTGAGCAGCTATGCCAGAGCTCAGAGAGAAAGGGATGGAAGATGGTCACGTATGTTCATACAACACATACCACGCAGATTCCAAGAAAAGTCTGTGGGAAGGAATACATGTAATTTAATGCAAGAGTTTAAAAACTATACCCAGAAGAAGAGCTGTCAAAAAAGCACAGAACAGAAAAACGAGCAAACCCATTAGAAAGCCCTCTTCAGTGAAGATGTGATAGCTGACCATCAACCGAAACTGAACAGAGTAACATCCGACAAAACCCTAGAGCCCACCACAGGAGAGTGAGCCCCTTCTGTATTATGTATCAGGAAATGTTTTGAGGGTCTCGAAGGTATCGCATACTGAAGCGGGAGATCCTTATGCTCCCAGCAAGTATCAACATGTCCTCTCTCACAGGAGAGCATGAGCATGCTTGAAGGCCAAACAGCATACTCTTAATCAAGACCAGGCAGCAGCAGGAGGCAGGATTGAACCCTGACAGAGTGAAACTGAAGGGTTTTTTCTCCAAATAAAGCTGCGAACCTCATAGGTAAAACCATTTGAGCCTGTAAATGAGAACTGGCTGATGCTGGCAGCACCTACACATCAGGATCGTTCTCACTCCATAGTGATTCTCCACTCACATGAAGGGCTTGCAGCTATGAGCCCATGAGCTGGAAGCAGAGGTGTCAGTCATGATTTCCACTATGCAATATATACCTCATCCATACGTATAAAGATAGCTTTGACTCATAATTGCTAACTCACTCATCAGATTCCTGGAAACGACTGGAAATGGACTATGGCATCTTAAGATTATCAGTATACACAGCCCTCAATGTTGCCAAATTCTCATGGCTTAAAGCATAAACTCCCTGTTATTTGACATTTACTTAAAATCAGTTCCTTCCATCAAGCAAGTCTATGAAAAATCCCAGGTTTCACACTGAAAACAAAAGCTTCAACGCTCTGTGGTGGCTTCAAAGAAAATCTTTGATATAAAGATATAAAACCTATTGTTTAAAAAAAAAAAAACAAAAAACAACACACAACCGAAAAACCCACCCACAAAAACACACCACCACACCCAAAAAAGGCAAGTAAAATAAATCCTAGACTTTTAGTTTGAACACACTAGTACTCAATTATCAGTCCTAGTCTTCAGGACCTACATCATTAGACAGGCGGTACTGTGTGCTCCATCTCACTGCCTTCCCACAGAAATACACATATGCACTTGGAAGCCAAGTTTGCTGCTGCGTATTAGCATAGCAGCATAATAATCCATGCCAGCTATCAGATCAAAATTCTTTAGTATGAAAAAAATTGAGTAAAAATTAAGGCTGTGAAATATGTGGAATCGTACAAGTTCACTGCTTGTTAAAACACTGACGACTAAACCTTAAAAAACAAAGGAAAAATACTTTCAAAGGAAACATTTGAAGCCTTATTTTATTTCCCACCTCCTCTTGTCTTCACTTTGTCCCCTTTCCATCATCACTACAAAAACAGATACAATCATTGCCTGCAGTTTCTGCTCCTACGTGCCACAGACCTTTGCGGGTAAAAGGTTATTTAGACTCATTTAACGTTGGCACTTTAACAGAGCCTGTCAGCAAACACATTTTTTTGTTTTTTCAGGAGTTACAGAAATGTGAGCACCTGTGCACAAGCAACAGCGCAGAGGCCACTGACCCACATAAGCATGCCGGCAAACAGCCATCAGCAGCAATGGTGGTCAAATTTGATGAAAACGGGGCGGATTGAAAGATATTGGATCCAATTTCAGATCCTATGCAACAATCAGTTATCTTTTTAAAAGAGGTGACTACACAATATGAGGAGCAGCATCCCAGCTGAAGGCTCTATCTTGGAAGAGCACTGGCTTTCCTCCCAGCCTGCACATGAAATCCAATATTTACAAATTACAGTGGGGATGAGAACAGTCTAACAGCCAAAAAAACCCAGAAACAAAGCAATTTTTTGTGGTTTACACCTGATCCCTTTTTTCAAAGGGATTCTCTTGTTCCTAGTGGATTGCCACCAGTATTTTCCGCTTCAATCCCCTGTCAGAAGACCTCATGTCATTGTCATCATCTTCAGCCAAGTAGTAACGATGATATTCCCTCTAGCTTGTTATTTCTGCAAAGCT